TCCGGCACAGCCGCGATGTGACGGGAGTCTGGCGCTGGGTGGGTAGGCACGAAGGATGCGCGTGTGCGGCAGGGGCTGCGGCCGGGGGCTCGGCCGGGGGCGGGGTGGACGCACGGGGAGTAGCCAGCACTAGGCGACCAGGGGCGCGTGACCAGGGGGCGGTGACTGGGTGGGCTGAGTAGGGATTGTGTTCCGAGTCGCCACGGGCCGTGCACGCGGGAGTTCTGAGCCCGCTGGGTTCGGACCTCGGGTGCTACAGTGGGGGGGGCGCATATCGGAGACCTTGCAGCTGGTGTCCCAGCAACGCGTGGCGGGGCGGGGCCAGGTGCCCCCCTCCCCCAGCCTACCGGAAGCGAGCGGCCGCGGGGCATTGTGGGCACTGTGGTCCCCAGACCCTAGCCCGGAGGCCGCGAGCGCGCAGGTATTGGGGCTGCGCGGTCCGAGAAGGTCATGGGGTTGGTTGCTGGCCGGGCTGCAGGGAGCGCGCGGGGGTCACACGCTACCAATGCCGGAGTGCGCGCAGGCCAGGCTCTGGGGCTCGGGGAGACCTCTAGGTGCAGGCGCTGCGGGTGCTGGGGTGGGGGGGAGCGGCTGGGGAACACGAGCCGGGGGCTCCTGGTCCCGGGATGGGGTTGGGCACGGGGGCGCTGGAGATAAGTGCGGGGGCAGTGAGCCCCACGTGCAGCCTCGTCCCCCGTGGCAACCCCGGCGCACTCTCCGAGCCTCTGTCACCTTACGCGCGGGCTCCCGGCAAGAAGGGGAGCCGGATTGCGCGTCTGGTCTCCAGGCAAGCCATTGTCGTTTCCTGCGCTGGGAGTCTGTAGGTGTGAACAACCTCCCCTTGGAGCAGCTCCTGGCGCGGTTGGAGCCGGGCGCTGGAGAGTGTCCAGGGCCGTGGGACACTCTGCACCTCTCCGGGAGGCACGCTCTTCCCCCACCTGTGCTGGAGAGCCTCGGGGTGACCGTCACACGTGTGTTCATGAGATTCCTGGCCCCTCGGGTGTCAGGGCCGCAGGTCTCAGAAGGCCAGCGGGTCTTCCAGGCCACCCACAGCGTGCAGATTCCATAGTCCTTGGAGCTCTGCTGGGTGCCCCTTCAGGAAGGGAGGCCGGAGGGCCCCCCTCCCCACCAGCCCAGACCGAATCAGCAGAAGTGCCTCCCCCTGCAGGTTTGGGAGCCAGGTGCCCAGGCCACAGGTGGGTGGGTGGGCATCCCACCCAGCGGCCTCTGCTGGACTGCAAGAACTCGCGCTGGCAGGATGCTTACTTTCAGAAGGAGCATCTGTGGGTTTAATGACCCCAAGTTACAGCTATCTGTGCTAGGCAAAGATGACCAGCATGTCCAGGGGGCTTTCAACTTGTGGGTTTGATGTCCACAGTAGGGATGGCCAGATGGTTTTCCTTTTTACTCTTTGGAACACAAACTGGCATGTGATCTGGGAGGGCACAAGGCTTTTCTCTGTTCAGGGAGCAGATGGCAGCCTGAGGCAGTGGTGGCTCTCCTGAAGGGCCAGACGAGAGCCATGGTGTTTGGTTTGTCTTGGTCTTGGGTCTCCAGCCTTCACAGGTGCTGGGAGCACAGAACTGGTGGGAGCAGGTGGGAGCGTGGGTTGTCAGAAGGGGCCTTCCAGGGTGACGGTCAGGACCTTCTGAAGGTCCTCGTCTTCCCGGTGGCCTGCACAGGTGCCGGGCAGTGCTTCCTTCAGCGGCCTGCCTGCCCCCTTGCCTTGAGCTCGGGCACCCCCTTGCCCTGGGTGCCGTTTCTGTGGCCGTGAGTACATGATGGGTCCCTCCGACTCGCCTTCCCGGGCCTGAGTGTTTGGAAGAGGACTTTAATCTTAGCCATGGCAGTGCCCTCATGTGGGTCGAATAAATGAACAGGGTGGGTAATCCTTGAGGCCCCTAAGGCCGCCAGGAACACACGCAGTGCCTGGCCCCCCAGGGAGAGCCCAGCTCTGCATCCACTCTTTCTTCTGCACCCCTGACCCGGCCCCACATAAGGGTCCTATGCTCTGGTGTGGCCGCCTGTGCTCCCTGGATGGGCCCAGGCCCTCCCTGTGACCCTGCAGTCCAGCCATGGGCGCATGCACTGGCTGCCCTCTGCCTGCTTTGGAATCTTTGGGAAGTGCGTGGGGTGGTGCATGGAGGATGGGCCCGGCCTCCTGGCCCCTCCAGTGCAAATCAGTGCCATTGCTTATGGCCCCGGGCGGTGGTCTCAACAGCGGCCAGGACGCCAGCCCCTCAAGCCTAGCACTCTGTCTTCAGTGAGGCCTGTGATAAGTGACAGGTCAGCCTGTCTCGAGGCCTGCTCCCCACAGCTCTGACCTGGATGCCTCTGCAAGGCCTGTTAATGGGAAGTCACCAGAGGTGCTGGCACAGGACAGGCCAGGACTGTGACCCCCCACCCCACCCCCCAAAGTTGGAGGAGGGCCTCATATGGGTGGGAGGGGCAGATTTTTAAGTGACACTCAGGAGAAGGCAATGGCAACCCTCTCCAGTGTTCTTGCCTGGAGAATCCCAGGGACGGCAGAGCCTGGTGGGCTGCCGTCTATGGGGTCGCACAGACTCGGACACGACTGAAGCGACTTAGCAGCAGCAGGAGAAAACATAAAGCAGAAATGAAAGTGACCGTTTTTGAAGGGAACCCCACAGGGTCTGGTACCTTCTGAGCTTTCCGGGTCTTCACTGCCGTTTCTGCTCCCCTGGCGTAGGGCAGGGTGGAGGGGGGGCTGGCGGGGCTGGGCTCCAAGGTCACTGGGCTGTCCACTGGGCAGCAGACATTTCTTAGGACAGGCGGCTGCCTTTGTCCGGGGTGGGCGTCTTGGCTCGTGGGCCCTGACACCGGGGCACAGAGAAACACAGAGGCAGCCTGGGTCCCTCCTTCTGGAGTGGTCAGTGGACCCCCCTGACCTCCCCAGCACCCCAGTCCAGATGAGAAGGCTGCTTTCTTTCTGCCACCCCAGCGGGAAGCAGGCCTGAGGTTGTGCCTATGGTGTCTTGAGCAGAAGGTTGTGCAGAGGCAGGTAGATGGGAGGGAGACCCACCAGCCAGTAGGCCGCAGCCCAGAGGGACGAACCGCAGGTGACCCTGGGCCCTCCTCATCCTGTGGTCCAGGAGCTGAGGAGCCCAGGCTTCTCTCGCTGGCTGGGGGAGGAAGGTGAGGGACTCCCCAGATTGCAGGGATGGGGTGGGCTGGAGGGGAGCAGCTGGTGGGACACTCCCAGAGGTCCCATGTAAACCCCTGGGGTCTGCAGAGCTGCCCTCGACCCCCTCACCAGGTGCCTGGCCATCACAGGATGTGGACTCTTGCAGATTGGTGCTGCTGGGGAGGGCAGTGGTCCACCACTGTGACTCTTGGGACCCTCAGGGCTGGGCGCCGGGGTGTCTGAGCGCTGGGGGTTGTGGTGCTGGCCTCTGATACTGGGGGCGGAGCTGTCATCGGCTCCTGCTGTTTGGGAGTGCAGGGGAGGGGGGGGCGTGTCAGGGAGCAGAGTCCTGCCTGCCCCAGACCTACAGACAGGACTCTCAGAAGCACCGCCTCGGGTTTCAGAAGCTGTGGGAGTCCAGGGAGTAGAAATGAAGCAGGTGTGCTCTGGAGTCTGAGAGTTCTGCGCTGGGATTCGGGATTTCGGGGGCACCAGGCAGGGAATCTCTGTCATCTCTGGAGACACCTTTCAGAACAGGGGGCCCCTGAGCCCCTGGGGACAGGGAGCGTGGGGGCTCCTGAGCTCTTGAGCCTGTGGGGACTGGGAGCATGGTGGCCTATGGGTGCCCGCTCCCGGGGCCCCTGGGGACAGACAGTGTGGGAACCCGCTCCTGGGGGCCCCGTGCTTTGTAATTTTTTGGCTGTTCACCCCATGCTGGGAGCTCAGCTGACAGGGTCTCCGTTTTCCTGGCACTCAGGCAGCAGTGGCCCAGGAGTCGTGAGTGATCTTGAGGGGAGTCCTGGAGCTGGAGTGGGGGCCGTGTGTGCCCGCCTTAAACAGAGTCTTTCTGCTGGAGCCATTTGGGCTGTGTGCTCTCCAGGAAGCCGCATCTCCCAGGGGCTTCTGGCCCCCCTTCTTCTTGGCTGGTGTTTCACTTAGCTCTTGAGAAGGCTGGGACCAGGTCCTAGGACCCAGTAACCCCCAGGCCGCTGCTACCTCTCCTTGTAGCCTCATGAATAAACCCACCAACTCCAGCTTCTCCAGGGGGTTACTGCTGTGACACCTCTGCCCCATTTTCCGTGAGTCACGGAAATGAACGAGAGAGGGAGGAGGAACCTGCTCATCAGACCATAGCTCCCTTGCTGAGCGTGGCCCAGGCTGGCCCGGGGAGGTGGGGGGGGGGCTTGCCCTGCTCTCATCACGGACCCCTGTGCTGTGCTCGGGTGTATGCCTGGCCTCCCGGAGGGACTGTGTGCCCAGCAGGGCCTCTTCCTACCCCATCCTCTTGGCTGTCTTGGGACCACTCTTCTGCTGTGCCTGGCACATGGACATGCCTGGTGCTGTGACATTGAGACTCCAGACGCAGGAGCAGTTGTCAGATCTTGTGGTGGGAGGTCTGGCAGAGGGGTCGTGTCTGTCTCGGGCCTCTGGGGCAGGGTACAGGGGTCTTGCCTGCCCACCGGCCCACAGCAGGCGGCACTGTGAGCACATGACTGGAGCCTGGGGTTCCTGGGGACCTGGATCTTAAATTGCATTTACTTTCAGTTACTTACCATTTATGGGCCCCACGTGGTTCCCGCCACCCTACAGAGCTGCAGCCCTGAAGCCCCCAGAGGTGGTGACACCCCAGCCTGGGTAGGCCTGCAATCGGGATTGTCACAAGCTCCAGGTTGGGGCGCAGGACTGGGGCTGGGGGCCCTCCTCCTCCATGTGATGTGAGTCCTGGTTGAATGACTGGTGTGGTGGGGAGCCCGTCACCACAGAGTTTTTGGGGGAGGCGGCTGCAGTTGTCTGTGGAGCCACCCTGACTCTAGCTCCCCCTTCAGGTGCAACGTCCCGTCCATTTCCTGGCAGCATGGCGCTCTCTGGCCCGGAGGTGGAGAAGCAGGCGTCGGAGGAGCCCCAGCCCGGCCGTGAGCAGCAGTCCTGGTGGTGCCTGGTGTCCTTCCTCTGCTTCTACGGCTTCATGGCCCAGATGCGGCCTGGGGAGAGCTTCATCACGCCTTACCTCCTGGGCCCCGACAAGAACTTCACGCAGACGCAGGCACGTTGGGCGCGCATGCCAGTGGGACGGGCCGGAGCACGGGGGCGCATGGCTGCAGGCGCTGGCAGCCACCAGGTTCCTGTGGGGTGGTGGCAGGTCTGGTGGAGGGGTCATGCCCGCCGTGGGCCTCCGGGGCAGAGCCCACTGCCTGCCCACCCGCTTGTGGAGCCCTTGCTTCCAAGCAGAGGCTGTTTGTGGAGAGGGATTACAGAAGGAATTTGCCTTTTGCTCAGCAACAAGGACAAAGGATCTCGTTGGAACCCTACTAATAAGCTTATACCCCACGGCAGTCTTGCGTAAAAGCAGCAGCAGGCAATGTCCCTGCCAGTTTCCATCTCCATAAAATAAAGCAAATCAAGAGGACTCAGAGTCCGTTGGTTGATGGAGCACATGGCCAGGGTCTGTTCACCACCCCTCCTCGTCCTCCCTTAGGACCACCTGCCACCCCAAAGCCTGACCCTAACCCCATCTGTCCCCTGCACGGTGACCTTGGCCTCCATACCCCCTGCCGCTGGTGCTGGACCCCACTTGATTTCTGCAGGGAGCTCCTGCCTCTCCTTGGTCCAGGGCTTGGTCCCTACCCCTCAGTGACCCCAGGATTAAGCCATATGGAATTGCCGTCCACATGAGCCTGCACCCTCAAAGTAGCCCTCTTGGAAACCAGACACACCCATGTGCCCCAGCGTCATGCACAGGCTCAAAGCCCTGTGTGTGTGAGGGCTCCAACCCCACGGCCAGAGGGGTGACTCCCCAGGTGAGTCTGGGGTGGGGGGGCCTCGCCTCCTTCCAGCACTGGGTGTGGCACATCCCTCATTCACTGACTGGCCAGTTCCCCGTACACCACTCTGTTCCGCAAGGGCCCATCGTCCACTGCCAAGATGACTTAGGAGTGAGCCCGTGGGACGTGCCATTAAAATAACTATAAGGAAAACCTCTGTAGTAAACTCCCACTTGCCTGCCCTCTCAGGTCACAAGTTAGCTCTTAAATAGTAGGTTCCAGAAATTAAGCCTCCCACCAGGCCTTGGATGTGACCCGAGATCGGCAGAGGCCTTTTCGGGGAGAGCCTGGCGGGTCTGTGACCACGGTCACTTCTCCCACATAGATACAGGCTGATACTGCCCAGCTCGCACCCAGGCCTCAAACCACCAAGATCCCCCTCCCCCGCCTTACTCCAAGGGTCTCTGAGATCTCCAGCTTGTCCCGTCCCCCAGGGGAAACGCTGCTGCAGTCGCTTCCACCCTCTGCAGCGCGAGGCTGGGCCCTGACTCCATTTCGTCAGCACCCACTAGGCGCTGTTGAGTTTGTGCCCATCTGATAGACGAAGGGCTTGCTGCCGGGCTTAGATTTCCTTGATTTCTGCTGTGGCGTCTCACGTTCCTGGCTGTCCCCAAGCCTGGCCTTGCCAGCTTCCCCCTCTGTGGGCGTCTGCCTTCCTGTGCCTGGTGGGCTTCTGGTACTGGGGGGCCCGGTGTCTCCTGTCCACCAGCTTCCTCCCCTTCTGGGCTGCAGTTTCACTGTGAACTCAGCCCCATTCTTCCCAGTTTATGCTGAGTGTTGCCTGCACACGCATCCCGCCCACCCCCACCTCCCAACCCCCTGCCCTTTGGTTTATGACGCACTTCCTGGTGGGTACGAGGTTTGCTTTGCCCCTTGTGCCCTGTGACTCCTCTGCACCTGAGCTGTCCCGGTTGGGTCCTGCAGCCCCCCACCCCACCTCCATGATGACCCCGGCCCAGGACATTTTACACAGTAGTCCTTGCTGGCCCATGGCTGGCCCTGCCTGTCACTGGTGTGACAGCCCCTGTCCTGCCCTCGCTCCCTGCGCCCCCTGAGTGCAGCCAGGTGTAGGCTGTTGACGCCACTCATCTTGGAATTCTGGTCACCTATGGCCTGGCCCTGCCCTGCGCCCCTTGTCCCATGGTCCTCAGAGCCCATGGCATCCTGTCCTTGTCCTGCCTGCCACGGGGCCCGGGCTAAGTTTCCTGTTGGCTGCCCTGAGGCCACCTGGATCCTGGTGTGGGCATGGCTTCCTCTTCCTGCCTGCCAGTCTGGATCTAGCCTGTCCACACCGAGGTGCTGAGAACGTGGCCCAGCAACACTGGCTGCACCAGGATGAGGCAGCTCTCATGCCAACTGCCACAGGGACTCCGTGGGTGCCATGCTCCCCGTAGTTCCCAAATAATGACATGGGTCTGCCCCCCTGGCCTGCGTGCCTGCCCAGGTGGAGAAAGCGGATCAGCAAGTGAGGGGACAAGAAAGAACGGCTGGCCTCCTGTGGTTCTGACCCCATGGCCCCACAGCTGTGCAAGCGACCTGCCAAGAGAGCTCGACCACTAACTGAGTGGTTGTTTGATGTTCCCGAAATTTTCCATAAACAAGGCTCTGACCCTGTAGCTGGCTCCCATGACTCTGGGACCAGCACTGGTTTTTCAGCGCCCCTGAGAACAGACTTGCACCAAGACTGTCTTGGACTGTCCCGAGGCTCTCGTGCTCAGTATTGGGTGGCTTCCAGCGGGCAGGGGAGCCCTGGAGGCAGTGGGAGTGTGGCCAGCTTGGGGTCCCGAGCACAGACTCAGAAGCAGTGCCCAGGCCTAGCCAGTTAGGCTGCAAGTTCTGGGTGGACAAACACGACGGCTGCAGAAAACCATGGGTGAGCCTCCAGGAAGCAGTGGGCTCAGCTGGGCCCCACGTGCTGATCTGGGCTCAGCTCTGGGTCCTTGGTGCATCTGTGAAGTGGACCTTGGTATTAGTAGGTAGTCAGGCGCAGTCAGGGTTAGCACCCTGAGTCGGGTGGGAACCAAGGGAGGCCAAAGTCTCAGAGTCCAACAAGGCCAGAGGCTCTCCTGTTGCTGCCCCTGGCTGATCTGAGCCATGGCTAGGCCCTGGGAGGGTCAGTTGGGGTCAGGTGGAACTCCTGGGAGGGTCATTTGGAGTCAGATGAAGCCCCTGGGAGGGTCAGGTGGGGTCATTTGGATTCCTGTAGGAGACTACCTGCCAAACACCCAGCTGGGCCTCGGGAGAAGCTCCAAGCATAGGCTGCCTCCCGTGTGCATCCCCCAGGAAGGCGGGGCAAGGCCAAAGACTTGGGTCTCTCAAAAGCTGGGACCTCTTCCTGGGGGGCAGGCCCAGAGTGGCCCTTCCTGGGCAGTGGGAGGACATCTGGCTCGCATCCCAAGGGGGTCTGTGGCTGTGGCCTTGCCCTACGTGCCCAGGAGAGAGTAGTATCCTGCTGGGCTGGCCCTGTCTGAGTGGAGAGCTGAACGGCCAAGGCCATGGACAGCTCCCTTGGTGAAGCTGGGAGTCCTGGCTCCCTTGAAGGCAGCTCCTAGTCCTGCCTGACAGGTGGGGGTGAGGGCCCAGCTTTGCTCTCCTGCGTGGCTGGTGCAAGGGTGGCTGCAGCATCACCTGTGCCCTGGGACAGAGTGAGACTGGCCACTGAAGGCCTTCCTTGGCTGCTGGCAAGGAAGCTCTGTTTTCTATATCGTTAGATTTAAGGGGAAATCCTATCATGTTGTTACTTCATTAGAGACAAGCCTGGATCAACATGGCTTAGCATGTAGTTGCTGATTATTTTCAGCATACTTAGCGGCGCTCTGCAGGTGTCAGTACCAAGCTGTTTCCTGAGGAGCACGCCCTTGGGGATGGGATCAGGGTGGAACATGTTTGGGGGTCTGGTTGTGCTTCTGTTTTCTCAGACGCCCTGGACACCCCTAAGGGCTGCAGGTGTTTGGAGGACAGTACCCGCCACGTAGTCCTGGTGGGGCATGGTGGTAAAGGGGTACAGGAGACGGGGTGACTTGGTGCATGGGGGCCATGTGGGGCTCGCAGGTGCTGGGCCCAGCCCAGCAGACGTGACGGGCGCCCAGAGCAGCAGGGACGGTGCTCTGGGGCTGGAGGTCACGCCTGTGCTGTCCCGCAGGTCACCAACGAGATCACGCCGGTGCTGTCCTACTCGTACCTGGCCGTGCTGGTGCCTGTCTTCTTGCTGACCGACTACCTCTGCTACAAGCCGGTGCTGTTGCTGCAGGGCCTGAGCTACGTGTCTGTGTGGCTCCTGCTGCTGTTTGGCTCGACGGTGCTGCACATGCAGTTCATGGAGTTCTTCTTCAGCATCACCATGGCTGCCCGCATCGCCTACTCCTCCTACATCTTCTCGCTGGTGCCCCCTGCCCGCTACCAGCGCATGGCCAGCTACTCGCGGGCCTCGGTGCTGCTGGGCGTCTTCACCAGCTCGGTGCTGGGCCAGCTGCTGGTCACCATGGGCAGGGTCCCCTTCTCCACGCTCAACTACATCTCGCTGGCCTTCCTCACGTTCAGCCTGGTGCTGGCGCTCTTCCTGAAGCGCCCCAGGCGCAGCCTCTTCTTCAACCGCGGAGCGCCCGTGCGTGCCGGGGCGGCGCCCTCCGAGCTGGACCAGATGAACCCGGGCCAGGCGCAGGCCGCGGGCGCGAAGCCGGGCTGGCCGCCGGCCGCCTGGCGGGACTCGACGTTCGTGCGCATGCTCAGAGAGCTGGGCCGCGTGGTGCAGCTGCCGCAGCTGCGCCTCTGGTCTGTCTGGTGGGTCTTCAACTCCGCCGGCTACTACCTGATCGTCTACTACGTGCACATCCTGTGGAACGTGGTCAACCCCACCACGGACACCACCAGGGTCTACAACGGCGGGGCGGACGCCGCCTCCACGCTGCTAGGTACGCCCCGCCCCATGGGGCAGCCACCGTGACGACGGGGATGGCCGTGACGCGCCTTGTCTCCCCAGGTGCCCTCACCTCGTTCACTGCGGGCTTCGTGAAGATCCGCTGGGCGCTGTGGGCCAGGCTGGTCATCGCGGTGATGACGCTGCTGCAGGCGGGGCTGGTGTTCCTCATGTACAAGACTGACAACATTTGGTTGTGCTACGCGGCCTTCGTGCTCTTCCGCGGCTCCTACCAGTTCCTGGTGCCCATCGCCACGTGAGTCGGGCGGGGGCTGGCAGGTGGCCTGAGAAACTGGTGGGGGGGTGGTGGCTGGAGGGCCATGGATTGTATGTAGCAGAAGGTCTCCTTCCAGAAGGTTCCATGGGGAGCAGCAGGGTATGTACTGCTCATGTCGGAGAGTGAGCCCCAGGTGCCTTTAGCCAGGAGCCCCCATGCCCACAGCATGCCCTGTCTCAGCTGCCAGGACCCTAAGGCTGGGCGAGGAGTCCGGCCTGTGTGGGCATCCCCTGTGCTCCCCCCTTGAGCCTCTGGTGTCCACACAGATGGGACCTCTGTAGGCCTTCCTCCCTGCCTCCCGGCCTTGAGGTCCTGTCATGGGTGACTCTGAGGCCATTCCCGTCTTCTCCCGCTTCTGGGCAGGGCGGCTCACAGCAGTAACTGGGTGACCCAGCTGACCTTCTGCCCGAGAGAGACCTTCCCTGATACCCTTACGTTCCTCACACCCCTGGTGACGCTCCTGCACCCACCCGGGGATGTTCCAAGAGCTGCCTGCCAACCCACTGTGCCTTCCAGAACCTTCCCCAGCCATGTCCTGCTGGGTTTGGCTCCTGACCCCTCAGTGCACCCTCTGAACTGGACCTCTCACACCATGTGTTCACCCCAGACACACGTGTCCACACCACGTATGTGATACACAACACCTGCTCAACACCAGTACCCAGCAGGTGGCCTGTCCCTGTCCCCAGCTGTTTGGCTCCAGCTCCCCTCTGCGCCCCGTCTCCCCTGGGGCACCTCCGTCCCGACTTGGACCGTCCACTCCGGTCACACCCATGTGAGGACATATGCCCCCGCCTTGTGTTGAGCTTGGATGGTGTCCTCAGACTCCTGCCCTTCTGCAGCCCGCCCCCCTGCCCACGGCATGGTGGCCTGGCTCCCCTGCACGACAGACCCATGCCTGCGCTGGTCTGAGGGAGGGAGCCTGGATCAGACCCGGTCCTTTCATTTCCTGGGCCAGTGCTGCCCAGGCGCCCAGACCGCACCCTGGCCCTGCTGGCACGGTTTATGCTCCCCTGCCCTCCTGCCCCTGTGGCCGTGTGGCCGTGGCCCCAGGCCTGGCCTCCCACACAAGCGGGACGCTGCATCCTCCTGTCCTGACGTGCTCTCAGCCTGTAAGCGCCCCACCTCTCCTGCCACCGTCAGCATTGTGGAAACTGAGGTGTCTTCCCCTCAGTTCTCTCAGGACACCTGGTGTCTCATGTGTTAATTGTAAAAGCCATGGGTGCTAGTAGCAGAACGATCAAATACGATGCAGAAAAGGTCAAACGTGAGACACAAAGGTGAGAAGGAGACAGCAGAACTCCCCAGGCTCCGTGGCTGACATGTGGTGTCAGGCTGCCGGGGTCATTGCTCCCCCCGCCTCATAAGCCTACGGCTCTGTGTCCAGAGGGCATTGTTTTTGGTCTTCCTGATGACAAGGCCACAGTCTCTAGTATCTCCCTGAGACGCATAGCTCAGAAGCCTCACCCTCTCACCTACATTTTTCTTCTGAAGTTCTGATAATGACCTCAGGTGGTTCCGAAGTGGGCCAGCCAGGTCAGAGTTCATGTGCTTTAGAAAGGGTTTAAGAGATGCTGCAGACAGGGCCAGGCAGGCGTGGGTGGAGGGCGGCTCGTGGGCCAGTGTGTCCTGGCCCTGGTGTCCTGGCCAGTTCACAGCTGATGAAAACCCAAGGGCCAGCAGCCCTTCCCTGCTGTCCTGGCCGGTTCACACCCGTGGGTTCTTTTCCCGCTGGGATTTCCTATTCCCCGGTCATCTGCAGCCCGTTTATTCTCCCACCTGGGGGTGTGGTGGCAGGGGCCTTTCATGGAGTGTGAAACCGTGTTACCCTTGGCTTTAATCCCACTCGTGGAGCTCTGGCAGCATCATCTCCACCAGTCGTACGGGTGGTGTTTTGTTTGGCCTGTACCGGTGGGACCTGGCTGGGCTCCTGTTTCCAGGAGTTAATCTATTGCTCGAGTTACTGTGTGCCTGCCCACCCTGGCACTTCATGTATTTCTTGTCGTCCCAACCCTCCCGCACCCCCAGCAGCAGCTCCCTAGCCTTTGTCATTCTCTGTAAGGCTTCTTTTTTTCACTCATTTTTGTTCACTCATTCTTCAGAACTTGAGAACGTTTCCTGTCTAGTTTCTTTTAAGGCACTTTGGGACTTTTAATTGAAAAGTGTGTTCAAATGTTAATTTCTGTGCAGAGCCCTGGAAGCACTGAGCATATTAATTCCTCTTGCTTCTTTATTTGTTTTATGGGTCTTTTTCTAATTTACTGGCTCATTTAACAGCAAAGGACTTTAAATCTGGAATTTTCCTCATGCCCGTCTGTGCCTGTGGTTGTGTTAACACCCTGCTTTCAGGGAGACGGTTTTCTGAGAGCCCTGTGGTGATGGCAACTTACTTTGTCCCAGGGTTTCCAGGAGACTTTATCTCCCAGGGCTGCCTTCTGCGCCTGGCTCTGCGCTCCCTTTATGGGTCACCAAGGGAGGATGTACAGCTCAGAGCACAGGCCCAGGGCAGTGGGCAGCCCAGGCGCAGCGTAGGTCTCATGGTCTCCCTGCAAGCCCTGCAGCCTCGGTGGACCCGTGGCTGTTCCTGGCTGCCTGAGAGCACTGCCAGCTAGCTGGGTCCTCTGCACCTGTGGGCGTATCTCGCCCCAGTGGTCTGACCTTGACCCGTTTCCCTGTTAAGTTTTCAGATCGCGGCTTCTCTTTCTCAAGAGCTCCGCGCCCTGGTCTTCGGCATCAACACATTCCTCGCCACCGTTCTCAAGACCATCATCACCCTCATCGTCTCCGACAAGCGAGGCCTGGGCCTCCCGGTCCACTCTCAGGTTAGCTCCACTTTCGGGCTCACTTCCTGGAGGAGGGACTCCTCAGGGTGGGTTGGGGGAGAAGTCCTGGCCAGGCGTCCTGGTGCCCTCCCGGCCAGCAGTGCCACCTCTCCCGGGACCCAGACAATAGACACGCTGCAGGCAGGGACATCTCTGGCCAGACTCTCTGGACTGAGTGGAAACAGGGGAGGGAAGGGTCAGAGGGCAGGGAGGCCGAGGGCCACAATCTGGCTGCCTGCTGCCAACCTGGGCAGCTCCCTTGTGGGGCTCAGGTTGGGGCTGTGAATGCTGCCGACATTGGGCAGTGCCGTGGGCATGTCCAGCCAAGTCCAGTGAGATCTCTGGGGTCCCTGAGGCCAGTCTGGGTGCCAGTCACTTCTGCAGGAGCTCTTGGGATCCTGGGTACCCCCTACACTGGCTGAGGTCCCGGGAAGGCTGGAGACATGGTCCTGAGCATCCCCTGTGCCCTCCTACAGGCCTTCCTGCAATGGGTCCTGCTCATGGGACAGCTCTCTGTGGGGCAGACGAGAGCGGAGCTCCAGGGTTGACTGACCTTGGTGCCTGTCAGCCCCCTTCCCGACCCCTCCCTCCATCCAGTCCTCTGTCTCCCGAGAAGAACATGAGACCTGGGACACACTCAGGCTGGACTCCCGGTGCCTCGGCCAGGGCAGGACCTCTGAGTGGGCTGGAACTAGCCAGAGGATGGGCCTGCAGGAGGGTTGTCACTGGGCTTCTCGGTGCAGCCTCCACCTGCTGGGAGCTGGGCCTCCCTGGGGTGTGACGGCTCCATGGAGAAATCTAGCCCTCTGTCCAAGGGTGCCGAGTCAGCCTTGCACTGGTGACTGCCTTGCCAGAGCTGACCAGGAAGAAGGTTCCGGCACAAGTTACCCTCTTGTTCAGAAACTGGATTTTTGGCTGGGGTTCGGGAAGGACATCAGAGCCTGTGGCCCTTTTTGTCCACCCAAGCAGGCAGGTCTCAGCCCTGCTTCCCCAGGAGGGACCCCCAGGCTGAACACTGGGGACTGTGGCTGAGTAGGGTGGCTGAGCTGGACTCAGGTCCACGGGGCGTCTGTGACTGCACCTACAGCTGGGCGGGAGGGGCAGTCCAGAGGCACCAGACCTCTGTCTAGAGGTGATGGATTGGGCCCTCTTTCACTGGGACTCTCTGGTGAGGCCTCCCCTTTGGAGCGGCAGCCTCCGCAGGGAGCACCATTGCCTCCCGGCTTGTTTGTGGGCCTTGCTGGCAGCCATCTACCTGGCCTGCAAGAGGCCTCCACACCCAGGGGTGTTCCCATTCCCTGGAGCCCCGGTCATCCTGGCTCTGGGCGGTGGGGCTTCTCAGGGGCTCCAGGCTGGGGACAGGGCTGGACTTTCCTCCCGTCTCAGCCCAGCCCTGCCACGTGGTACTTTATGGCCTTGCCAGGTCAAGCTGACATTATATTGATTTTTGTCTGGCTCCTTTAGTTTCCTGGTTAAAAGGGAGCTCTACAGGCTTGCTTGTCATTAGAAATTATGGATCCTGGTGGTGTCCGGCAGGAGAGTCATCCCTGCTCCTCTCGCTCACTGTTTCCATGTGCAGTGCACTGGGGGCCCATCCCTCCGTCTTGGGTGGTGAGAGTGGGGTTGGGGAACGGAGCTGGTGGTGGGAACCAGCCCAGAGCATGTGGGGAGCTGGCTTGGGGGGGCTGGCTTTTAAGTTAAACAGTATTTCTGGGTCACCACACACTCACACGCAGGGTAACAGGTAATGCAGAGACTCACATACCTAGCCTCCCCACTGGCCACGTCCTGCAGTTCTGGGGTGCAGGCACTAGGGGGATGTGGACCCCGCAGTCGAGATGGGAGCATGCCTGCCCACCCCCTGCGGCCACGCTGGGCCCCAACCCCAGCAGCCCCGGTTTGCGCCCATTTCTGTAGTGTTGTCATCTCGAGAGTGCCCTTACGTGGAACCCTGCAAGTCAGGATTGACTTTTAACCACTCGTCCTAGCTCCTAGAGACACATAGCTACTCCCGTCGGGTCCTGTGCTGTGTGGGTTCCCTGGTGACTGGACCCAGGCTCTTACCTGCTTACCGCCAGGAGCTCCAGCTTGGTCCTGCTCTAAACATTGGTGTATAGCTTTCTGTGTGAACCTGGAGTTCCGTTTCTCTGGATAAATGCCCTGAAGTGCCGTCACTGAGTCCTGGGGTGGCTGCCAGACTGTTCTGCTCCGTTTTTTTCTTCTCACCGGCCATGCCTGAGGAAGCCAGTTTCTCCACATTCTCACCAGCCTTTGATGGGGTCACTGTTTGTTTAGCCATTCTGAATGGTGTAGAGAGCTGATCCCTGTGGTTTTAATTTGCATTTTTTTCCCGTGATGGCTATGATGGCCTTCCCTGATGGCTCAGACAGTAAAGAATCTGCCTGCAATGCAGGAGACCTGGGTTCGATCCCTGGGTCAGGAAGATCCTCTGGAGAAGGGAATGGCTACCTACTCCAGTATTCTTGCCTGGAAAATTCCTTGGACTGAGGAGCCTGGTGGCTACAGACCATGAGGTCACCAAGAGTCCAACAGAACTGAGCACGCACACGCTCACTCCCTGATGGTGGTGACGCTTCTCTTCTCATGTGCAGCTGCATCTGTGCATCCTCCTGGGTGAAGGGTTTCTTCCATTTCCTGCCCATTTACTCGTTGGGGCTGTTGTCTTTTTATTCTTGACTCTGAGCATGTCTGCTTATTCTAGATACCAGCCCTTTGTTGGACATGTGCTTTGCAGGCGTCTCCCAGTCCATGGCAGACCATCTCGCCTTCTTAATAGGGCTGTTTGCAGAGTAGAAGTTTTTAATTTTGATGAGGTCTGATTCATTCCTTTGTCCTTTTGTGGATCTTAGTTTTGGTATTACATATAATAATTCTGGGCTTCCCAGGTGGCACTAGTGGTAAAGAACCCACCTGCCAATGCAGGAGACACAAGAGATGCGGGTTTGAATCCTGGGTCGGGAAGATCCCCTGGAGAAGCAAATGGCAATCCACTCCAGTATTCTTGCCTGTAGAACCCCATGGACTGAGGAACCGGGTGGGCTACATATAGTCCATAGGGTCGCAGAGTCAGACAGGACGGAAGTGACTTAGCACAGCACACATAATAACTGTCTGGTCCTGGGTCCCAGAGATTTTCCCCAGCTTCTTATTAAAGTTTTATAGTTCGACACCTAAGTCTGTGACCTGTTTGGAGTTAACGTTTGTGTAAGGTGTGACATTATGTTGTTCCTTTGTCTGTGGATGTCTAGTCGCTCCAGCACCATTTGTTGAAAGACTGAATTGCTTTTTCACCACTTGTCTGAGCCTGCTTCTGGGGTCTCTGTCTGTTCTGTCGGACTGTGTGTCCACCCTTCCTCCACCACCACACTGTCCTGCTTGTGTGGCTATGTGGTAAGTTTTAAAATTGGGTACACTGATTCCTCCAACTTTGAACTTTTTTTCAGAATTGTTTTAGCTGTTAGGGTTTCTTTGCCTTTCCCTCTACATTTTAGAGTAATCTTGTCTATATTTACAGAAACTTCTGTTGTGATTTTGCTAGGAATTGCATTAAGCCTGTTTATCAGTATTGGGAGAATTGACATCTTTTACTCTGCTGAGTCTTCAGCCTGTGAACATGGTATGTCTCTCCATTTACTTGGAACTTCTTTGATTTCTTTTTCAGCATTTTGTAGTTTTTGACATGCATGCAAGTACTCAAGTGCTGTGCATGTTTTCTTAGATTTATTCCTGGGTATTTCAGGGTTTTATGAGCAATTGTATGTGATCATTTTAGTTTCAGTGTCTGCATTAATCTGCAAGGACTGCCATAACAAAATATCACAGACTGGGCAGTTTGTGCAACAGCCATCTATTCTCTAACAATCTGGAGGCTGGAAGTGTGAGATCAAGGTGTTTGCAGGTTTGGTTCCCCCCGAGGCCCTTCTCCTCAGTCTGTCTTCTGTGTGCACGCCTGGTATCTCTGTCTCTTGTGAGGACAGCAGTCATACTGGATCAGAGTTCTGCCCTTATGACCTCATTTAACCTTAATGATTCCTGAAAGGTCTTATCTCCACCTCACAGTCATACTGGGGGTTAGGGCTTCAACAGTGAATTTTGAAGGGAGATAGTTCAGTCTATAACAGTGTCCCGGTGTTCGTTGCTAGTACAAGAAAGGAAAGAAAGTGAAGTCGCTCAGTTGTGTCCAACTCTTTGTGGCCCCATGGAATGTTGCCTAACAGGCTTCTTCATCTTTCCATGGGTTTTTCCAGGCAAGAGTACTGGAGTGGGTTGCCATTTCCTTCTCCAGGGGATCTTATTGTAGGCAGCCGCTTTTACCATCTGAGCCACCAGGGAAGTCAGGCAGACCTCATTTTATTGTACTTCACTTTACCATGCTTCGGAGATACTGACTTTTTACAGGTTGAAGATTTGTGGCAACCCTGCATTGTCAGATGGCGGTTGGCATTTTTTAGCAATAAAATATTTTTATTAAGGTATGTACATTGTGTTTTTAGACATAATGCTATTACACACTTAATAGACTATAGTATAGTATAAACATAATTTTTATATGTACTGGGAAACCAAAAAATTTGTGTGAATTGCTTTATTGCAATATTTATTGGGGTGGTCTGGAGCTGAGCAATATCTCTGAGGTCTGCCTGTGTAAGAAATACATTGACTTGTGTGTGTTAATCTTGTCTGATCTTGTTGAGGTCACTTATTTGTTCTGGGAGGTCTTTTCTTAAATGGTTTTTATTTATTTTCTTATTGCACTGGCTAGAACTTTTGTTTTAACTGTTTCCTTTGTTTTACTTGCTTTGGATTTATTTTGCTAATCTTTTTCTAGGTTCTTGAGATGGAAGCTTAGATTAATGATTTGAGGCTTTTTCTTTTCTAATATTTGCATTTATTGCTATACATTCCCCTCTGAGCCTGCTTTAGCTACATCCTACAGATTTTGATATGTTGTATCTTCATTTTCTTTCATTTCTATGTATTTTTGTCTCTTTTCATACTTTCTCTTTGACCTATGATTATTTCAAAATGTTTTGTTTAGTTTCCAAGTGTTTTGATTGTTTTCCTATCTTTCTGTTATTGATTTATATTTTTGATTCTATTCTGTTGTGATCAGAGAACACAATCTGCATTATGTCGAGGTTTGTTTTATGGCCCAGGATATGGTCTATCTTGTTATATGCTGCATGGACACTTGAAAAGAATGTGAATTCTGCTGTTTGGGGGTGGAGTATTCTATAAATACCGATTACATTCTATTGTTAATGGTGGTATTGGTTTTTTCTGTATCCTTATGGATTTTCTGTCTGGCCTATTGTTGAGAAAGGAATGTTGAAGTTTTCATTTATAACTGTGAATTTGCCTATTTTTTTCTTTCAATTCTATCATGTTTTTACTTCACATTTTTTCAACTACTTGTTGCATACACATGCACAGTGTCTCTTGGTGGATTGAGTCTTTTAACATTATATAATGTCCTTTTCTGCCTGTGGTCATTTTATTTTCTCCGAAGTCTACTTTACATGACATTCATATAGCTGTTCTGCTTTCCTTTGGCTTTTTTCCCCAGTTTTTATTTATTTATTGGCTCTGCCGGGTCTTCATTGCTGTGCAAGCTTTCTCTAGTTGCGGTGCGTGGATTTCTCATTGCAGTGGCTTCTCTTGGTGCTGAGCACAGGCTCTAGGGCATGTGGGCTTCAGTAGTTACATCACGTGGGCTCAGTAATTGCAATTCCTGGGTTCTAGAGCACGGGCTCATCCATGATGGCACATGGGCTTAGTTGCTCCGTGGCATATGGGATCATCCCAGATCAGGGATTGAACTATGTCTCCCGCGTTGGCAGGTGGATTTTTTTTACCACTGAGCCATCAGGGAAGCCTCTGTCCTTTTATTTTTAACCTGACTATATTGTTATACTTGAGTTTCTTGTAGATAGCATATGGTTGTCATGTTTTTTAACTCACTCTGCCAATCTCTTTGATTAGTTTATTTAGACCATTTATATTTAGTGTAATTGTGCTGTCTTAGAACTTACATCTGTCATTTCCTTTTTGTTTTCCTTTTATTCTCTGCCTTTTGTTTCTGTTTTCTTTTCCCCTGCCTTTTCATATGTCATTTACAGATTCTTCAGAACTTCATTTTGGGTTATCTGTTGTGTAATTTGAGTGTATCTCTTGTGATAACTTTTTTGATAGTTGCTTTGTGTAATAAATGGCCAGTTGTAGTAAGTATTGAAATCTCACCTCCTTTAAGTCACTTTTCCCTCCACTGTTTATAGTACAAGTGCCTTATTTATTTCCCCTATATATCGTTAGAGCTGCCTAAGAAGGGCTTATAGGTTTTACTTCAGCTATCAAACATTTAGGAAACTGGAGAGAAGAAGAGTCTATTTACCCATAATTTTGATCACTGTTGTTTCTCATTCTTGATGTCACAGGTTTCTTATCATTTACTTTCTGTTTAGAGAACCTTCTTCAGGCATTCTTTTTGGGCAGGTCTGCTGGTGACAAATTGTTCTCTTAGTTTTTCTTGACCTGAGAGTATCTTGATTTATTTTTCATTTCTGAAGGATGTTTTCAGTGGAATAGGTTTCTGGGTTAAAAAGTTTTCTTGTTCAGCATGTGAAAAATTTGTCATTTCCTTGTGATCTTCCTGGTTTCTGATGAAAAATCCACTGTTATTCTCATTATTTTTCCCCTACAGTGTCATTTTTTTCTGGCTGCTTTCAAGATTTTTCCTTTGTCTTTAGCTTTCAGAAATTTGACTATGATCTGTGTTGGTCTGATTTGGGGTGGGTGTTTTGTTTGAGGTTCCCTCACACTCTTAAGGGGCTTCCAAGGTGGCTCAGTGGTAAAGAATCTGCCTGCCAATACAGGAGATAGGAGATGCAAGTGCAATCCCTGTGTTGGGAAGATGCCCTGTAGGGGGAAATGGCAACTCACTCCAGTATTCTTGCCTGGAAAATTCCATGGACAGAGGAGCCTTGTGGGCTGCAGTCTGTGGAGTTGCAAAGAGTTGGACATGACTGAGCAACTGAACGTGATACGCATGCACCTTCTTAAATCTGCAGGTTTATGTCCCTTGCCAGATTTGAGACATTTTCACAGCCATTGTTTCCTCAAGTACCTTTTCAGTTCCATCCTTTTTCTTTCTTTTTGTTTTATTTCTATAACAAGTGTGTTGTCCCCTAGAGAATGAGGCTCTGCTCTTTTCCCTATCTGTTTTATTGTTTCGATTTGCCCATTTCTATTGTTCCATCTTCCAGTGCACCAATTCTTTTCTCTGTTCCTGCCATTCTGTTGTCAAGACCATTTGTTAAGTTTTTATATTGGTTACTGTATTTTTCTTCTTTTACTGTAACTTTACTGTAACTTTTCTTCTTTATCTCTTTCATTTCTTTTCTGCAAAGCTTTATCATCTCTGTCACCTTGGTATCAGTGTCTGTTGATTGTATTTCATTCATTTAGAGAACTTTTTCTAAGTTTGCTGAGTGATTTTTTTAATGTGAAACCTGTACATTTTGGCCATTATGTTATGAGATTCTAGATCTTATTTTTTTAAAAAATACTTATTTATTTGGCTGCTTTGGGTCTTAGTTGCAGCACTTGGACTTAGTTACTCTGAGGCATGTGAGATCTTAGTGCCTTGACCTGGGATTGAACCTGCGTCCCCTGCATTGCATGGTGGATTCTTAACCACTGGACCACCAGGGAAGTCTCTCTGAATCTTATTTAATCCTCTGCTTTAGCTTGCTTTTCCTGACACCACTCTCGCAGAGAATTAGGAACTTGTACCTCTTTACAGCCAGGTGGGGTGGGTGTCCAGACTCCCCCCTCAGCCTTCCTCACACTGAGGGGTATGTGGGGGCAAGGATAGGAGTGCCAGCTCCCCAGGGTGGCCACGAGTGGTTGAGAGGGGCCTGGATGCCTCATTACCGCTCCCGCTGTGGTCTCTAGTGATCTTGGTGGGGGCAGAGCATTCTTGACACTGCTGGGTGGGTTGAAAGTCCTGCCTCTTCAACGAGTGGGGGCCACCGCCTGGTAAGAGTGACAGTCCAGGCTTTCCATGTGGTCTCTGTGGGGGTGAACGTTCCAGCTCCCCAGTGGGCCCTGACCAACACCCCCTGACCAGACTGGGGGCATCATAGCCTGGGTCATGAGGGTGGGGTCTGGCTGGAGTAGAGTGGCTCCCATTCTTCAGTGTCCCATCCTGCTGGGCCGGTGGTCTCTCTCCTGATCCTTCGTTCGGAGCAGCTTTTATTAGTGTTGGTTTTTTCCCCATGTGTTTGGGGATTTCTGGTTTGCTGGCTTCTTTGGTTCCTTTAAGAATACAGGCAGCAGAAAGAAGAAAAAACCAGGGGACACGTTGCTGTGTTGCTCCTCAGACTGCAAGGTCAAGGCTGGTCTGCCTTTCCAGCTTTCAGTCACCTTTGAGTGCTTTCTGTGCAGTGTCCGGGGCTTCGCTCACACTCGGAGAGAAAGAGGCAAGACATGCTGGCCCCAGGGTCCTGGACGCGAAGTCTCTGATGGTTCACTTCCTGGTTTTGCTTCTGAAAACAGGCTTTCCTAGGAGGGCTGAGCGTGCTGGTGCCTAAAGGGGTCTCAGGGAGCCCCCTTGGGGGAGTAGAGCTCCGGTGCCTTGGCCCGCAGATGAGGGAGACACCCTGAACCCCTGTGCCCAGTGATCTGAGATTCAGGTGGGAGGGTCCTCTGTGCTGGGCCCAGGGCCCTGTGCATTCTTGCTGGGCCGCTTCACGGGTCGCCGGGTTCGGGGCTGCCCAGGCCCCAGGGCCATGGGAGCTGCGCTGGGCGACTGGATGGTCTGTACCCCTCCACCAGGCTCCACCCACACAGGTGTGAAGACTTGGCCCCAGAGCCAAGCACACATTTGCTGTCACACCAAGTGATCACAGTGCCTCAGGCAGGATCCCAGAGGCTCAGAAGCTGTGCTCAGAGGCTGTGCTCTGCTTGGCTGGCCGGTGGAGGCCTGCGCGCCCCGCCCCCCTCCCCAGGCGTTCCCGTGACCTGACCTGTGCCTCTCTGTTTCCCTGTCTGTGAGCCCTGGGTGCCCCTCCGCCTCCCCCAGGGGCTCCCCTTACCTCACCCCAGCCTCTCTGTTCCCATGTCCCTGTTTCCTGGTGCCCCTCCCCCTCCCCCCTCAGATGCTTCTGTGACCTCATCGGCACCTCTCTGTTGCCCTGTCTGTGAGCCCTGGGTGCCACTCCCCCTCCCCCAGGTGCTCCCCTGACCTCACCTGCGCCTCTCAGTTCCCATGTCCCCGTTTCCCTGGGTGCCCCTCACCTCCCCCAGGTGCTCCCCTGACCTCACCTGCGCCTCTCCGTTCCAGTTCCTCACCTACTTCGTCTACTTCCTGCTGCTCTTCGCCGCCTACTTCCTTGCCGCCGTGCTGGTGGGCCTGCGCCACTTCAAACAGAGCCGCCACCAGCCCCTGCCGCCGGCCCAGGAGCTGGTGAGTCCCGTGCAAGAGAAGGCCACACAGGACAGAGCCCCGCTCCCAGCCCCGGCGGATGGTGTGCCTGCCGTGTGAGGCCAAGGCGTGACCTCAGCTGACCTGCCGTCCCGCCCGGGGGGCAGTCAGGTTCCTGACACCGCAGGCAGCAAGCCAGGCCTCGACCTCAGAGCTTCCTGTCTTCTCTGTGTCAGCAGCCAGGTCTCCGGCATCATGTCCACATCATCACCTTGTGGCAACTGTGACTGAGGCCCTGGTGGTCTGTCCTTGGGACCCAGGGTCCGAGGGCCACTGGCCTCCACGAGGGGTCCTTGACTTGCATTATGGCACGCAGAGCACAGCCCCCCTCGGCCCTCCTTCATGCCCTGGCTGTGACCCCCAGCCTGCAGGGCACCCTGGCCACTGGGGGCTGGTCCAGTGGTGGGGCCCAGGTACCCACCAGGCCTCCCTGCTTTCTCCTCCTTGGGGGGCAAGTCCCACTTGTTCCAGGGAACCAGCAAAGTGGTCCCAGATGCCAGTCTAGGGGACCCAGCCCCCACGGGATATGCTGGGCTGTGGGGGCCATGTTCCTGGGCCCACGGCTAAACTGTGACATTTGCAGTTGTCCGGGTGATTGTATTTTCAGTGATGCTCTGTCCCTTTTTAAAAAAATGGACATAAGTGCAAATCCTTATCTGGCTTGTTTCTGGGGGAGAAACAGGGCACTGGGGGAGGGGTGGTTCTGTCCAGTGGAAGCACCTCAGTTCCAGACTTCACCCCAGATCCTCTCCCTCCTTTGCTCAGAGCTGGGTTGATGCTGTCCCCCTCCTGGGGGACAACCGGGAGGGGACTTGCCTGTGCCACCCTGGGCGCTGCCCGGGTGCCTGAGAGGCAGTCGTACGTCCTCTGAGATGTGATGCCCAGACACATGATGTGGACATGCAACCCACATGAGGGGGCACCTGATTCCATGTGTCCACCGGGCCAGCAGAGGGGCCCAGCCCTGTCCCCAGCCACAGGCAAGGACCCGACCCTGACCTGAGCTGATCCTGGCTCCTCCTGTGGCCTCTGGCCTTCATCCAAGGTCCACAGAAAAGGCTGCTGCTCCAACTTCAGAGCAGGATGACTGCTGGGGGCAGGGCTTCCAGCTGGCTGCCCCTGGGGTCTCCGAGGTTGGCTTAGGTGAGCGAGGCATCTCAGGGCACCCTGAGGGTTGAGGAAGAGGCTGGACCTGCGGTAAGTCACAGCCACCAGGTCAGTCAGGGTGGGTGATCCCCTGGTTGGGTCGTGGGAGACGCCACAGCTGCCCCCTAGACCCTGCCAGGAAGAGGCAGCAGCCAGCACCGGTTCCTCCATCCTCAGGGATCCAGCGGGGCTCGAGGGAAGAGGGCTCGCCTCTGCTACTGACCCAGGAGGCAGGGCTCTGCTCCGAGCCCCCACGACCTGCCCCCGGACCCCAGGAGTGCCCCCCTGGTGTGGCTGGCCCAGTGGCCCGGTCCTCCTGCTCCCCCCGCAGCCTCCCACAGTCGCTGGCCCCCTGCTCGGCCTCTGCCACCTCCACTGCTGAGCTCCTGTTCAGTGCAATGTGCATGCCCCTCAGGGATCAGACACCTGCAGCAGCTGCGGGAGGCTGGGTCAGGAGCCCGGGGCACAGACTACCTGCATGCTCTGCGGGGCTCGTGAGGCTGCTGGCTGCCCCCAGGGAGACCTGAGAGAAGATGGGTGTGTGGCACCTATGGCCTCCACCAACCGTTACATCCATGTATCTCTATCTCACATCTGTGTACACCTATGTGTATTTGCTCACATCTGTGTGCCTCTTATGTCCATGTACACCTATGCACACCTGTACATATCTGCACGTATATATATATATCCATGCACACCAGTGCACACCCCTGGCAGATCTCTATATGCATGCACATCTGAGGATTCAACTGTGGATTGAAAAAATATGTATATTTTTAAATGCAGAAAGTTTCAGAAAGCAAAACAGAATTTGCCATTTTCCTGCCTGTATTATCATGGTGTTTACATTGTATTTACAACTGTTTCTATAGAATTTTTCTTGGCTACCATGGTGACTCAACTGGTAAAGAACCCATCTGCAATTCGAGAGACCTGGGTTTGACCCCTGGGTTGGGAGGATCCCCTGGAGAAGGGAATGGCAACCCACTCCAGTATTCTGGCCTAGAGAATTCCATGGACTGTATAGTCATGGGGTCGCAGTATTAGGTATTAGAAGTAATCTGAGATAATTTAGAATATGCAGAGGGATGTGCATGGGTTACATGCAAAAATCACACCATTTTACATAAGAATTCCTGAGCAGGTTTTGGTATCTGTAGGGTTGTTGGGATGACCATACATCTGCAAACCCTTGTGTATCCATGTGCATCCGTGTATGCCTGCACACCTGTATATATGTGTGCACACCTGTATGCACCTGTGTACTCCTGTGTGCTTCTGGACACCTGTGTATATGTGTGCACACCTGTATATACCTGTGCATACCTATGCATATCCGTGCATGTTTGCACACCTGCATATACCCCTTTGGCAGGATTAGCCAGCTGGGCAGTCCAAACAAGGACTCGCCTCCTGACAGTGAAAACGCAAGTGTCAGTCATTTAGTCATGGCTGACTGTGTGACCTCCTCGACTGTAGCCCACAAGGCTCCTCTGTCCATGGGATTCTCTAGGCAGGAATAGAGCTCCCGCAGACCAAGCGTCCGTGTGAATGGCCGTTTTTATTTGGAGGCTGTTGGGAAGCCACAGACACAGCTCCCAGGACCAGCCCCTCAGTTTACTGTCACAGTGGTCAGACAGCAGGCCCTGGGGCAGCTGGGCTCTGGCCTGCAAATCCCAGCATGGCCATCCCATCAGCTCCCCCAGAGATGCCCGTGTGCACCCCCAAATGTTCTCTCCTTTGCTCCCACAAGGAGGGAGGGCCACACCGTGGGTTTCCCCGGAGACGTGCTGGTGCAGATGGTACTAAGCAGGGACCAAGCAAGCACACATGGCCTTCACCGGTCCGGGGCTGGCCCCACCCCTCCATGTAGCCTTGCCCATCTTAGAGCTGGCTGGGCAGGTGCATGTGGCCATCCCCTTGCCTCCAAGTCTGGCAAAGGTGGGCCCAGGACCTTGGTGCCAAGCTCAACCAGAGGCAGTTCTGGCCAGGAGTTGAGGGGGCCTGGATCTGGGCCTAGATGGGACTTGGACATGCTCCTGGGCAGAGTTGGGCTGGAGCCGGAACCGGTGATCCTCGCCCTAGGGAAGGGATGCTAGTGCTGAGCAGGAGGTCCAGGGACCGGGTGCTGGGTTCATGGACCCCTCAAAAAGTACATCTTGGGCTGAGGTCAGGCTCTGTGCCGTAGGGGTCGCTTACTGTAGACGATCCCCAACCCCCGTGGCAGGACTGGCCACACACAGCAGCAGCAGGAGGAGACAGGGGCCACAGCCCGGGGAGGTGGGGCTGAGAAGCCCAGGTCAGCGGTGGGGCCTCAAGCTTGGAAGTTTCCGCAGGATGGCTGCTGGGAGGAAAGGTGGTGAAGTCTCAGCGCCCCCTCGTGGCTTCTCTGTAGATGGCCCGGTGTTGGCAGGACAGGGGTTTCTGGGAAACAGAAAAGTTGGGGCGGTTCAAACACCACCCCCTACCCGGCCCCAAGGTACCCAGGAGGTCCTGGGAATGCACATCCCTCGGCAGAAGTTTCCAGAGTTGGCCTCTTGCCAAAACAAGGCCAGAAGGAAGTCTGAGCACCAGGCAGTTTTAAACTTTTTAAAAAATACACTCTTTGGCTTCCTTTTATTTCTTGAGGATTACATGAAATGTGAACCATACAGGCAAGTGTCCCAGCCAGGTCCCTTCCCTGGGGTGCTGGCAGAGGCTCTCTGCCCAGGCTGGGGGCATTCGCTCCTCCTGCCTGGTGCCTGGCTCCTCTCTGGCACTCTGTTCATCAGTCCACCTGTCCATGGTGCCCGCAGAGGCCCTACTTGGAGGAGGAGGTCATGAAGCTGTTCTCGATGCAGAGGACGATGAAGGCGTTGTGGCACCCAGCAGCTTTCTGCTCCAGCAGCCGGCCCGCCAGCAGTGAGGAGGCCTGGCCCGTGGCCGCCCTGGTGTCCGTCCGCCACGTCTCGCAGTAGCTCTCGGTCAGCCGGCGCCCGCTGGGGTCTGAGCCGTGCCACACGCTCTTCTGGGGCCTGCAAGATGCAGCAGCTGTCAGTCTCACTGGGCCCGCCTCTCCCAGGCTGTAGCCACCCCAAGCAGAAGAGGGTGTCTCCTGCTGGTGGAGGGTTGGTGGGGTGTGGGGGCCACTGGGGAGCAAAAACTCGGGCTGCCGGCAGTCAGGCCCACCCAGTCCTGGGGCTTTACCTCCCAGATCACACCCTGTGCTGCTGTTGCTTTGGGGGGCACCGCCTGGTGAGCAGGGCCTAGGGCAACATGGACGGCTGGCCCCTTGGGGGAGGGTGGACCTGGCATCGAGTGGTGCCCTGGGTGGTGCTCCCCGATGAAGGCTGGGCCACAGGCTCATCTAACACCCTGAGCCCCCTAAATGTCTGCGAACAGGAGTCCTCACACCTGCTGGCAGAGTGCAATGGGCATGGGGCCAGCCTGAGGGCCACCCAGTGACTTCTGCAAGCATGTTGGACACACGTGTTCTCCGACCCAGAAATTCCACTTTGAGGAATCTACATAAGTAATTCGCTGTGATGTTTATGTGACAGACTGGCGGCCAGAGCCTGTGGCCTCCCAGATCCACCACCCTGGCAGGAGGCGGGGGGCACTTGCTGGGAAAGCAGGCCAGATGGAGGTGTTTCAGGTAACACCACAGACAACCACCTTTACTACTCCTCCTGTGATCTTGGATTTTGTGGGTTTTAAGCTGCGAGCGTGTGTCAGGACTGAGTCAGCCAGCAGGCTCGGAGCCAGAGCGTCCCCCTTTGCTCAGGACTCTCGGATCCAGAGGACCCGAGCCGCTGGCCCACATGGAGACCCACCAGGCGGGATGCTGGAGGACATCTCTGCTGTCAAAGGAGAAGATGCGGGCGCCGGGCTTCAGCTGGCCCTCGGAGCCCGAGAACAAGGCCTCCCAGCTG